GTCGGAACAGATGAGCTTGAGGAAGAAGCACCTTGAATCCTTCTCCCGGAGCACCGACTATGTTAGAAGCCGGTACTCGAACATCTTCAAATGTTATTCCTCGAGTGTCGGAGCAACGCTGGCCAAGATTTATTTCCTAATATTACATTGACTTTATACTATTATACCGTTTTCGTTCATTCATAAGCTTCAACTAAAAGGCATTTCCAGAATTAATTTTGAAAAACCTTCTTTCCACGAATTAATCCTGGTGTGTCTCCTTCAACAGCAAAAGCGGTAAATGCAGCTCCAGCTGGAGCTTTTGGGTCCGGATTCGAACGAGCAAGTACGAAGAACCTAAATAATTTGGGCATCATTGTTTCGCATAAGAAATCAGATTAAAATTCATGGGTTAAAAATGCGATAGCATCGCATTTGAACTTCCCTAAATGAAGTCTAGAAGCTCCAGGAAATTATAGCCACCAAATGCATGTTGAGATATCTTCTGACAGAGGGGGAGTTATCTTTCTGTATTCGAGTTGTGACAAAATGATGAAAACTTTGTTTTGAATTGAGAACTTTTACTGATCCTAAATTAGCCCTACTCAATTTGCGCACTCAGCATCTTAGCTTGCCTACGATATTCGAAGCGCATCCAAATCATTTGTATCCTTTTGCCCCCTGCACATGATCAGACGCTATCCTTCTTAAAAACTTTAGAGATAACTCCTTTTTGAAAAAAAAACTAACGCCAGTTTTTGATATTCTTCTATAGCCTTGAACCCTCCAAAGTCTGATACACTTCCGCTAAAGTTGTGCGTATTTTAAATTTTTGTTTTTATCCTCTAAAAGTAGCACAATGTTCCACTTCTCATTCGCTCTCCTATCTTTTCCCTCCCTCCTCCCCTCTCCCTCGCCCACCTGGGCTGCATAATTTACACGAAAAACTCGATAAAAACTACATCAATTCAGGCGCTTTTGTAGATTCAACCTACTACAAATGATGACTACAAAGCACATTTACAAAAATTTTGATTCGTGGATCTATTTTCTCAGATTATAAAGCTCGATCATTGCCAAAAAGATTGTTGATTTTACCACTTTGGAAACTGCGGCTGGATAGAATTTCATTTTACCGAAAAGAACATTTAAGAACTGACGGTACGGACTGTATGTATAATCACAGCACTCCAACTATTCTCCTTCTTATAAACTATCTGACAACGTCTTTCTGCTAAGTATATCATCACACTATTGAGTTATTCCCCTATAAGGTTACTTACCAGTTAGCATGTCCCGCATTAGTGATCCACATTTTCGACCCATTTATCACATACTCATCGCCCTTTTTTTCACATTTTGTCTTTATTCCAGAAACATCCGAACCCGCAATCGATTCCGTCACAGCAAAAGACTAGAAAGCAAGATGAGAGCCATCATTAGAGAACTTCAAAAAGGTGGACATACCGCCACAAGGGGCTCTTCAACCATTCGCGGAAGAAATTTTTTCTGAACCTCTTCACTACCACAAAGAATTAACGGTGTTTCAGCGAGATCATTGGCTAGTAGAGCCGTTCCAATTCCAGAGCATCCATAAGCAATTTCTTCGCTTATTATAACATTTGAGACCATGTCCATGGCCATTCCTCCTAAAGAAAGTACATCGAAAAGTATACCAAGATCAAGTCCGATTGTTATCCCACTCTTAAGGTTAGCAACTCAGAACCTGCATTTGAAAACTTATCTCGTAGTAAATATAATATCATAAAGAAAAAA